GCGAATCCCTAAGATTGTCATCGCCTTTTGGCGTGTCAATCTTAAGGATAGGGATACGTTCGAGGCTGGTAATCTAGGGCGCCTGTGTTGATGTTTTCGCGAGTTCGCAACTTTGTTCGCAACGTCGGATCTCAGGGTCGACGGATCACGCGCACGGCCCTGCTTGCTTTTGTCCGTCCACGCCACGCGGGATTGGGCCCCCAAGCGTGGGGTGGCAAAGGCCTGCCCGACCGTGTCCCAGCAACGTGGGCGAAAAGCTCGGGCCACGGTCGCGGCGGTCGCGACGCGCCCGCGGCGCTCGCATGAGGCGTTCTATCTTGCACGAGAGCCGAATCGAGGCACTTCTCATCATTCTCCACGACATTGCGTGTTTGCATGCATGGCGATGGCAAAAGGGGTATGGTGGGCCCGCCCGTGTCCCTGCCCCAGACTTCCCTCCCCCCCCATCCAGCCTTTGTCCTCTTCCTCCTCAGAAGAAATTCGCCAGCCGCACGGGCCAAAGGCGTGCTAAATTCTCGGGCAACTGGTTAACAATATTTCTAATTCGCGCGCGCGGGGCCGCCCATGGGCTTCCCCAGACGACAAGTACCCCCGCAGGTCTCGGTAAGGTCCCGGCAAGATCCCGTGCAGGTCCCAGGCAGGTCCCGGCCAGATCCCAGCAGGCTCCCAAAAGCGTTCCCGGAGCGCTTCAAGTGGCCTCCAAGAGAGCTCAACATGGTCCGAGACGGTCCTAGAGCGATCCAGGACGCCAAAGATTGCCTCCAGACAACCCAAAGCGCCTTCAAGACGCCCCAAAAAGCCTTCAAGAGACCTCCCGAGAGGGCACACAGAGGCAGAAAAATATGTTTGTCCTTCAGTTTCTGACGGTTCTTGGCGTTCTCGCCTTTTCGGCTTCCCGGCGCTCCAAGACGGCCCAAGAGGCTTCCAAGACCGCCCCAAGACGGCCCAAGAAGCCTCCAAGAGGGCCCCAAGAGGGCCCAAGATGGCCCCGAGACAGCCCAAGAGGCGCCCAAGATGGCCCAAGAGAGCCCCAAACCGGCCCCAAGAGGGGCCCAAGAAGGGGACCAGGAACCGAAACGTCCATCCTTCAGCCGCAAGAGGCCCCCAGGAGGTCCCAAGAGGTCCCCAAGAGGCCCCCAAGAGGTCCCCAGGAGGCCCCAAAAAGGCATCAAAATTGCCTCCCAAAGGCCCCTGAGAGGCCAACAACGAGAGCCCAACCAACATCCGTGAGGCCTCTGACCCGCCACCCACCGCCTCCGAAAAATGGCAGCCGCCCAACCGCACCGCATTGACAACCGCACCGCGACAAACGACAGCGGCGAGGCAATATGGGCCGGCGGAATGAGCGAAACGATCAAATAGGGCGAATACCGTGATCTTGGACGTTGTTGGCAACTGCTTTCACTTCCGGAAGACCGGTACATTTGTCGGCCTCTGGAGACATGTGTGGCCATCTTCTCCAGCCCCCGACCCCTCGCAGGCCGTCCACCAGCCCTCCTCCAATAGAGGATGAAACAACTGCATAAACATAACCTGTTGGAGGTCCGCGCGGGTTTCTTGGATCTGCGCTGAACCCCACTCCCTGGCAAGCGGAGCGCGCCAGGGGTGGCGCTGGAGTCGCCGCCCGGGGATTCCAGCGCGGATCCAAACAATCCGAGAGGACCGTCGAAAGTTTCAGTGTATGCCGTTTTGTAGTCTTAAGCCCTCGGCGCGGTTTTGAACGTGGGCGACAGTGCCCGCAAGACGCGGGTCACCTTTGCAGCTCGTGCTGCCCGCGGTGCCTGCCCTCGTCAGGGCGATGGCCCAGATGCCGAGCAGTCCGTTTCGGTGTGCCTTGCGCGGTGCGGAACCCCGTCGGGGAGGGACAGACAGAGGCTGAACTGGCGCCGCTGTCGGGCAGTCCTACGACCCGACGTCGTGAAACAACACAACGCCCTGAACAAATGATTCGACGCGAAGGTCCTCAAATGTACGCCTCAGTTCCTGGTACTTCCGTCTGTGCGTGGCACAGTGGGAATATTAGCCTGCTTCGCCCGGGTGATCTTGAGACTCTGATCGGCGAGAGGTCGGGTGTGCCAAAACCAGCGCTTCCCCTGAGAGGTCCCACGATCTAGGTCCCTGGGTGTGCCAAAACCAGCGCTCCATTGGGGGGGGCGCACGAGATATGCCTACTGCATCGCGGTGATCATGGGCCTCTGAACGGAGAGGAGTCGGGAGCGCCCAAACCAGTGAGCCGCTCGAGGCATCCCTAGAATCCAAGTGCGAGACGAAAGTGCAACACCTCTTGGCGGCTCCTCCTTGAAATGCCCGAGTGCTGCACCTGCTACGCTATGTCGAAGTGATCATGAGGTCCACAAAAGTGAGGGGGCCGGGGGCGACATACGAGCAAACCTCTCGAGACCTTCCCAGAATCCGCAATCCGGGCGCGAACAGGCAGGAGTCCCCCTCCCTGCTGGCTCCCCCTGCAGGGCTCCCAAATGCAACGCGTGCGTTGTCGCGGTGGTCAGGGGGCCCTGAAGAGGATGGGGTCCGAGCCACCCAGCGGGCAAACCGCCTCAGAAAGTCCAACAATCTGGGAGTGAACGGGCAAGTGCCCCCCTCCCTGGCGGCTCCCCCTTGGGATGTCCCGGTGCCACGCCTGCTTGCCGCGGTGATCAGGGGGCTCTCAACAGAGACGGGCCCGAACCACCACTCGAGCAGACCGCCTGAGACGTGACCACCACCAGGGAGCGAACGGGCAAACGTTCCCGCCATCGGCGGCTCCTCCTTGAGGGGCCAACATGACACGCTCGCGGTGCCGCAGTGGCCATGGGGCTCTCGAAGGAGAGGGGTCTGAGACAATCAGTGAGCAGACCGCCTGAGACATCACCACAATCTGTGCGCGAACGAGCAAATGTCCTACTCCTGAACGGCTTCTCCTTGGGGTGCTTAAGTGCCAAGCCTGCCACATCGCGATGAGCATGTGGCTCTGATCAACCAAACAGGCAAACCGCGTGAGACATCCTCATAAACGAGGCGCGAACTGGCAGATGTCCTACCCCCTGGCGGTTCCCCCTTGGGATGCTCAATTGTCACGCCTGCTGCATCACGATACGCTTGGGGCCCTGAAACGAAGTCGGATCAACAAAACAGGCACACTGCCCGAGACATCCCTGTAATCTGTGCGCGACCTGGCAAATGTCCTACCCCCTGGCGGCTTCTCTTTGGGGCGCCCAAGTGCCACGCCTTTACATCGCGATGCACATGGGGCTCTGACAAGAGAGACTTCCTATTGACCAAGCAGGCAAGCCGCCTGAGACCCTACAACCTGGGCCCGACTGGGCCAATGCCCTACCCTCTGGCGGCTTCTCCTTGAGATATTCAAATGCCACGCCTGCAACATCGCGCTCAGCATGTGGCTCTGAAGACAGATAAATCGGATCAACCGAACACACACACACAGCATGAGACATACCCGCAATATGTGCGCGACAGGGCAAATGTCCTGCCCCCTGGCTGCTTTTCCGTGGGGGGGCCCACGTGCCACGCCTGCTACATCGCGATGAGGATGTAGCGAGTGGGTCTGAGTGAGGATGAGTGGGAGCATCAACGAATCTGAGTGTGAGTGAGTCGGATAATCAGTGCATCTGAACGCCAGTGAACCCAAGTGTGAGGGCATCTGACAATTAGTCAGTCTGAGTATGATGGATCTGAATGTGGTGAGTCAGAGTGTGAGCGTATCTGAATGCGAGTGGGTCTCATTAAAAGTGATCTAAGTGTGGCACGAGAGAAGGGAAGCGCGATGGAGTGAAGAACGGGATGCGTCCCAGCAGTGACAAAAACCGCATCTTACGATGTGGGGAACGATGAACCAAGCCTCTCGATCCTACCTTTCTGCAAGATTTCTCGAGCCCCATCAATCCGTGAGTCCTTGGACCCAGGAAGCACCAGAAAAACGTGTCAAGGTCTTCTTCGTCAGCGGTCTGTCAAAGACCCGAACCAGATTCGCACGCCGCTGGGCCCGCCGCTGTCGCGCCCGACAGCCCGGATGGTCCACGGCAAAGCCTGCGGCGGCGAACGTCGCCGAAGCGCCAGATGCCGACGATGCCCACGCGAGAAAGGACACGCAGCGGCCGGGCCGTCGAACACACAGGCCAGCTGGGAAATGGAAGGCGGGTATCCTTCTTTTCCCTCGGCCGCGTCCCTCCTCCCTCCTCCTCCTGCATGGAGGCACAATTCTGCCCAACGGTGCCCCCGTTCATGCTTCATCGCCAGCGCACACACCCTCTGCCTAGCCGCCGACGCTAAAATGAAAGGCAGGCATCCGTCTTCGACATGGTCGGACGTCTCAAGATGGCGAGCCTCGGATCGGATCGGATCAGGCTGCGCTAGCCTCGGACCACATCTTTGCCTCGGCTTGGATGGCGCAAGCGACACGCTTGGCACGTCAGAAATGGCGACAGAAAATATGAATGGTGGTTGCCGCGCTGCCCTTTTGTCTTGGTGGCGACACACCACCCCCATCATCCCTCCTCCTCCTAAGTATCTTCCCTCATCCATCCGTTTCGCTTGCCCGTCACCTCCCCCGTCCCCTTCTCCTCCTCCTCCCTTCCATGCCTTAGCTTTTTGAATATTGTCATCGTCGCTGTCATCGTCGTCGTCCCCCTTCAGGGTCGGCAGCACCGGCCGTAAGGCCTCTGCAATAGGAATGCCGCAACAGCACATGTGATGTGCAGTCGGCAGCGGCCGATGTGGGGCAGGCAACATGCTGATTAAAATGGACAAGGTCTGCGGTGGCACCGGCAGCGAGTCCTTCCCAAAGCGAACAGGAACCCCGTTCTCGCGGTACCCATGTCGGTCGTGCAGGCGAGCAGCCTGCAGCGGTAGCGCTCGTCTCCAACACGCTAAACTGTGTCGCCCTTTCCTGCATCCGCGCCGCACGCCCACTCCGCTGCACTCCGGAGGGAGGGGCGGGGGCGCCCAGCTGCACGAGGTGGTGTGGGGGTGGGGGGGCAGGGCCCTCACTCGAGCGAGGGGATGTCGCGCACCAGCTCGTGGCGCAGCAGCTCGGAGGCGCTCCAGCGCAGCTCGGGGTCGCGCACGACGCAGTGGCCGATGAGGTCGCGACAAGCGTCGGAGAGGCCCTCTGGGATGGGAGGGGTCTCCTGCGGTATCAAAAACGGGGGGAGGCCCCTTCGGAGTTCAAGGCTTGCCCCCACACCCTGCAGTCATCGCGCCAGCAGAAGGAACGCTGAATGAGGAACGAAGGGGCTTGCCTGGCCACGGCGAACCTCGGCCACGACCAGATCCTCCAACCTAGATCCACGGAACGAGCCGAAAACCGAGCCCAAAGTGGTCCTTTCTGCCAGCGCCTGGACTGTAGGTCGAGAGCCCTCCTGGATGGGGTCCGGGTAGATGGGGTCGAGGGATCGCGCCGCACAGCCGATGCATCGCCGATGCATCGGCGACGACGGCGGTACATCGGCGACACCAGCGCGGAGCAAAGCAGGCTCCGCATCGAGCCGCACCGCCGACGCATCGGGGTGGCGGAGGAGGAGGCGGAGGAGGCGGAGGAGGCGGAGGAGGCGGATAGCGGCGCAGTCTGGGGGGGGGGGAGGTGGGGGTGCGGCGCCATCCTCCAATCCAAGCTGCTCGGACCCCACTTGGGAGGCCTGTATTGGCTGCGGGTCACCTCTTCGCGCGTCGCGCTCCAGCGGTGCGCGGCCGACTCACCAGAGGGCGGATGGAACGGGCGGCGCCCCCCCCCCGCTCCCGTCAGGTCGGGCATGTCCCCTCACAGGCGGATTCTGAGAGAAAAACAAAACGTCATCCAAACATGCTCAAAACAGTCCAACCATAACTTCAAAACAAACTGCCCCCGGCCTATTTTTTGACTGCATTCGAACCTTGCTCCTGTAGAGAGGCAGGCCCGACTTCACGCTCCTGCCCTCGCTCTCGGGGATCTGCTGACCCGGGTCAGTCCAGACCCGGGTCACTCAGGCCGTGCAGGATCCTCCAGGATCCTGCAAGATCCTGCGCCCAAGCCCGGGTCAATGCGAAGGCTCCTGCAGGATCCTGCAGGGACTTGCGCCCAAACCCGGGTCAAATGCGACCCTGCCCCTGCGGGATCCTGCAAGACCGGGCGCTCTGGCTGACCCCCGTTTGCAATGACCCCCGTCTCAAGGCTCCCGACCCTTTCCCGGGCATGCCGCGGGGGCGAGCGCTCGGGGCGGCAGGCGGCGGGCCTCACGGCCCGCTCGCTCACCCGCCGAAGGCGAGACCCGCTGCGCGAGGGAAGCAGCAGGGGCGCAGGATGCCTCCTCCTCTTCCTCCTCCTCCTCCTCCTCCTCCTCCTCCTCCTCCTTCCCCCCGTCCTCTTCCTCCTCTTTCTTCGGCAGGCCATTTAGCGCACGCACCCGAAGCGTAAGCTGGGCCTGCGTCTGCAGGCAGGCAAGACAAAGCCTTCCCGTCAGAGGGGCTGCAACACAGGCGCCACGAAAGCGTGGCCAAGACAGCGTCAGACAACCCGCTCGAGGATGAGGAAGGGAACAGGAATGAGGTAATACGTAGTCGAAGGAGTCGAACGGGGAGTAGACGGCGCCATCGAAACTGGCGCTGTCGAAAGAGAACAGGCGGGACAGGCTGCCTGCGACCCCTGGGGCGGGGGCGGCTGGGAGGTACTAGCGGGGTATTTCACCCACCTACACCCTCCTGTGCCCCCAGCCAACCCGCACCCCAGGGCAGCAGACCACGTTCCCCGAACTCGACCTGCCTCTGGAACGGACCATGGAAAGCACGAGAACCTTGGACATGTGGGAAACGAACATCTGAGGCTTGAGGTCGAGCTCGAGCCAGCAAGCAAAGACTGCGGACGGGGATGAGGGGGGGACGACATGATGATGGAGGGAGGTATGAAGCGAGCGCGCTGCCTAGTCTCCTGGGTGTGGGGCGGCTGGGAGGTACTAGCGGGGTATTTCGCCCACCTAAACCCTCTTGTGCCTCCAGCCACCCCACCACCCAGAACAGCACGCCAAGCTCCCCCGCACCTAGTCCACCTCCTGAGCCACTCCTCCATCTCTTACCAGGGGTCCCATCCGTACAGGATGGCCGTCGCCAGCATGCGTTTCATGGCCAGAGGCCAGCAGGCAGCTGCGCCGACTGAGCCTGGCCCAGGTCAGCGGGCAAACACGCGGCTACCCTCTGCAAGACTCTCAACCTCGCTGCAAAGCGGAGTGTGCCATTCTATCCATGCCAGTGAGGTGCCCTCGCCAGCCGACGTGGTAGCATGCACCACCCGGACAGGCCGCGTGCATGACCGCACACGGTCAAGACAGAGAACAAGCTGAGAGGACACACCACTCTCGCAATGAAAGGCACAGGGCGCTCCAAGGAGGCCAGACATCCCAAACGTCCCCCCCCCCGGCAAAAACCTGCAACTTATCATTATCAGGCTTCACCTGACCTCGCTTCTCGGACGACGGCTGTGTTCACGTGAGGGGGGGGTCAGCGTCACGAAGTATCATGCTGGACACATCGCCCACACCACAAAAGCATTGTGCACGCCAGATAGGAAGCCGAAGCTCAAGAATAACTGCCAAGACCTTTACATTAGACAAATCGTCGATCAAATCAAAGAGGTGCTCCTACCAAATCTGTCCATCACATCGCCCGACTGCAGTCTCATAATTGTAGCCTGTTCTCTGCGCGGCTGCCGAATCCAACTACCAAGATCTCCGGGATGAGAAGCTGACGCGCCCATGTGGTAGAAGGTGGGATTGCCGGGCAGCCCAACTCTCTCCCTAAACAACGACGACTGCGTCGGTTCAAGAGCCAAGCGGACTGCGGGAGGCGCAAACGGGCGGCGCGGTTCTCCTCGATGTCCCCAATGTTCTTGTCGTTCACCACGCGCCGCTCCGGTCGGGGGTCGCCCTGTCGAAGCGTCTCAGCCTCCTCTGCAGTCAGCGGACTATCATTCTCCATCAACCAGTTGAGACATGTATTCCCTGGGTGTCTGAGATGACGCACCAGATTAGAACGGTCGCCGAACAGCGTCCCGCACGCTCCGCACTGAGTGCCTCGAGCCAGCAACTGAGCGTCGTCAATCGGATCATGCATTGTGGCACGGCGTCGCCACGCGCCCCTCAGCTCGAAGTTGGCCCCACATTCGTGACGCACATAGCGCGTGACCTCCTCGTCCGACATGCGTGCGTTCCCCGCCCATGATTGCAAGGTACTCCCCCATGCTTGGCGCTGCGTCTGCTCGAGCTCCGCGATCAAGAACTCGCCCCGCGCCGCCTGTATCTCACGCCGAAGTCTAGGACCATCAGCTTGTGCAAACCCGAACCAACGCCTCAACGTCCAATCTGCCCTAAGAGATGGATACGCATCACACTTGCTAAGCCACACAAAGTCCTCTGATGCCAATACAGACCGCGGCCCATGCTGCCCCGCTACCTGACGCGCAAAAAGATGAGCGCAATGGGGGCGTTCACGAAAAGCTAGCTGAAATATACCAGCCTGCGCCGTCGAAGAACCAGCGCGATTGGAAGCCGGCGGGCAGCTGCAAGCACCTCCAGGTCCGAGTAGTGGCGGCCAGATCCCTTGCGGTGAGCACGCCCTTGCACGACGCGGTGCGACTAGATGCTAGAGCCATCGAATTTCTTGAGCTGGGTGGCCGAAAGCCCCCCCCCCCATGTCTCGGCCCGATAGAAAAGCTGGACGTTGGCTAGGACGCCCGCAAGACAGATTCGCGATGGAAGTGACATCCGATAAAACTTTGACACCACGCGCCTGACAGGTTCAACAGATAACCGCTGCTTCTGCGTAGACCGAGCAATCCTGGGACCGAGGCCCCCGAGAGCATCACGGCACGCCCAAGTACTGATGCTCGGGAGCAACGTGAACCCGAATGCCCCACTTGGGACTGCTCGACATGCTGCATTAACTTCAAGCGCTGTTGGCCTCCAGGAATCAAGATACTATCAGTCTTGTTCTTCTCGTAATTCACTCGAAAACAATAACGCAGCATAGCTTCGCACATCATGCCCGCCATGTGTCCAGCTGCTTCAAGAACATCATCATCGGGATCAGGAGACTGCAGGGATAAGGCATCGTCAACAAGGCGAGCATCCACTAACGCAGGCACTTGAAAACCTACTGATATGCCCTGCTGCACTAGATCCAGCGCGAGCGGTAACTCACGCCCAAGATGAGCAAACTTTTCGTGGAGATCTCGAAATGGACAGCTGGAGGATAATAGAAAATAGCGTCAGCCAGAGAGGCACCAGGCCGGGGGCCTCTCCGTGATCGGGCAACCTCTGCACATCCAGGGATGCCAAAGCGTGTACCACGGCGTCCCTCAATAAGCAGAGCCACCATGTGAGGGGGCGCGTCGAGTCCCCCAAGTGCAGCTGGACTCGAAAGAATGAAAGACATCAAGGGGACCGTGCTCAAGGGAATGTCGTGCTCGCGTAGAATCTGCTCGTCGTCTTCGTCGTCGCCAATCCTTGGTAAAGTCAGAGTCCTCACCGCTGTGCAGAAAGCTGCGACCAAATCTACAAAGAAAACTGCCGCCCGATCTTGCGCTCGTGTGCATTGTATGTAAGCTGTCGCCAAATGCGCCGACATCGAGGGTCCTCGGGCTTCTCGGCCTCCACGTTGAGTATCCTGCAACAAGACGCCCATGTATGCGCTAAGTTGAGTCCTCAGAAACTTGTGCCATATGTGGCTTACCGTGCTATTCAGCAATATAGATCGGTAGAACTCAAAACTCGAATCGTCGCCAGTGCCCTTGAATAGAGGAAAGACAATGCCGCGATTCCACGTGAACTGCTCTTGCTGGTGAATCGCCGTTTTGACAAAAATAAATGGAAAGTGCCGGCCCAGAGCAGACGGTGAGGCCCTCAACAGGTCACCACCGATGCCATCGATGCCGGCCGCCCGCCCTCCCTTGGCCAAGGAAAAAAAAATCGCCGCAGCCAGAGGGTGGAGTAGATACTCAGGCTCGACCGCGACGCGAACCACCACGTGGAGCATGCGATTGTTGTCCTTGTCGATGAGAGCGTCCTCGAGCATGGTCTCACCGTCCTCAGCCCTGGAGAAGTGCTCGATCACCATGGAGCCCGCTTCCTTCACTGACTCTGCAACTTTGCCCTCAGTATTGCGTAGTATCGAATATCGTCCTGTCTCAGTTAGCAACACGGCCACGTATCGAAGCCTGGCATTAAGTAGCCGCCACTCGCCGTGACTACCCCCACGTAGCGCACACTCCTCCATCTCCCTTCCCAAGCTGTCCACATGCTGTGTGCGGTCCAGTGTGACCATCCTCCTCACCGTGCGAGAGGTCGAAATAAGGAATACTTCCAGCTCTTTCGAAAACTCCTCCGCAGTTAAACTTCCCGTTCGGATACAGTCGCTGGCCATCCTGAGCCTAGACGCCGCGTTGCACCAACCAGCCTTCAGTGGCGGGTTAAAGAGAGGGTCCGTGGTGTGGTTGATCAAGTCATTCCAAGAAGGTCGCTGGGCAGTGTGGTGAGGAAGCCATCTCCACGCTCTAAAGACGTATCTCCTCAAGCGGACAAGCTCCACAGCAGCGGGGGCGACATACCCCCGGACTGGATTAAAACGGTCCCCGGAAACGCATGCTGAGGCCGCCGACCTGATCAACGTATTGATGGCCTCAACGTGGTCGTTCACATCCGTCGTCCAATCTGGGAGCACAACTCCCTCAATGAGCTGGTCGAACCTGCGGATCTGGTCCACATCCCGAAGCTTGTTCCTATCAAATACGTGAGCACTTCTACGCCGATGTGGAGCTTTCACCGTAGTCAGCTTTACCTCTGCAACCACTGGGTAATGGTCCTCGCCGTCCTGCCAGCAAGCTTTGGGACGGAGCTTCTCTTCCAACATCGTCTTGTGAGCTCTCAACGCATTCGGCTGCCCTGAGCTGGGCACGAACAGATGGTGTCGTTGGGCGAACTCCGTAGTACACAACATGGTTTTGTCAATCATAGTCTTGATCTTTTTGTCCAGGCTGGCCTGATGTTCGCGCTGTCGTCGTGCCTCTGCCTGCTGCTGCCGTTGCCTGTTCATCGAGTGGTTGCAATGAGATCCACGCCAATGCCAGTCACGCTCTCCATTCTTTGTCCCACACAGATTACAAGTCCACTTCGACATCTTCTGAACAAAAAACTGCTCGAGTGAAACAACTTCTTCGGCGATTGGCCGTCGGCCTCGCCCTCTCGCCGCTCGCCACTGGGCAGGCGCGCCGCCAGGCAAACCCACCGCTGCCCGCCGCGGGCAGCCGCCGCCAGAGACCGCCGCAGCGGCGGGGGGTGTGGTGGGGTCCCCCCCCCGCGCGGTCTCTATGGCGGGCCTCGCTGCCGCCGCCCGCGCGTGGGCCAGCGCGGGGCCGTCCCACCCCGAGCGGGTAGACGGCTCTTCCTCCTCGTCCTCGTCCTCGTCCTCCTCGTCTTCCTCCTCCTCCTCCTCCTCCTCCTCCTCCTCCTCCTCCTCCTCCTCCTCCTCCTCCTCCTACGGGGACACGCGGCAGCGAGAGCGAGAGAGGAGCAACCCCCCCTCACCGTCGACCCCACACGTCCTCCAGGAGCGGCGAGGACATGGAAGGCTCCCTCTCTCTCTCCCCCCCTCTCTCTGTCGCTCCATCCCTCCCTCCCTCGGAGGAGGAGGAGGAGGAGAAGGGGGAGGGGGAGGAGGAGAAGGAGGAGGAGGAGGAGGAGGAGTCTGTCTGTCTGTCTTACCCATTCGAGCTCCACAAGTCTGAACTACTGACTACTCGCTCTGGGCCACGGCTCTTCTCGCCAGATCTCTCTCTTTGGGGGTGCGCACGCTCCCGAGAGGCCCTGAAAAGGTGAACGAGGACACTCTCCCTAGCCCCCTTCGGGCCACCCTCCCCGCCCCCGCTCCCTCCCGCCGCTGCCGCTGCCGCTCGCCCCATCCCTGCCTCGAGGGTGGAGCAGCGAACGGCCGTCCCGGCATCCCCGTGGACCTGACACGGCATGTTCGCGGATGCTGTGATAATAACACCACGGTTCGTAGAGAGCAGAACATCCAGAGAGCAGAACATAATATAGAGCAGAAGCTCCAGTTCTGATGGTGTGATAATATAGAGAGCAGACAATCCACCCCATAATAAGCGCCCCGGCAAGCGAACCAATTTAGTAAACTCATCCGTGGAAGGAATCGAACATGGCAGGGCTGTTTAGTAAACGCCCAGGGCTGTTTAGTTAACGCGAATTGTCGGGGCCGGGGATGGTTTTTCCACCCTTCATAGTAACAACACTGTTCGTAGTGCATGGAGCCGATGTCTTGAAACAGGACGGTCACCGCCAGAAACGTTCAGTTTTTGCCGTTCTGCCAACAATTCAGTTGAGCACACCACAGCCGGTTCTTTTATACACACATATATATATAACACAGAAGTGGTGGGAGCATAGACGGACCAAAACGTTTCGTCACTGTTTGTCGTAGGCGGCAGGGCGGGGTCTCCGACGACATCCCGA